TGTTGACCAGGATGGTCTCGATCTCTTGACCTCGTGATCCACCCGCCTCGGCCTCCCAAAGTGCTGGGATTACAGGCTTGAGCCACCGCGCCCGGCCCCGCCTCACTATACTTCTATACTAAATGGGAATCATGATAATTATACCACAGAGTTATTATGAAGATCAACAAATGAGTCTTATGGAAATCCTTCGCACTTTACAAAAGGCAATACAAATGTTAGCTTTGTTGTAACAAAGTGAGCTTTGAAATGTTTCTAAAAAACAATATTATTCTGGCTTGGTGCGATGGCTCATGCCTGTAATCCCAACACTTTGGGAGGCCGAGGCCGGTGGATCACGAGGTCAGGAGTTCAAGATCAGCCTGGCCAATATGGTGAAACTCCATCTCTATTAAAAATAAAAAAATTAGCCAGGCATGGTTGCGTGCACCTGTAATCCCAGCTACTAGGGAGGCTGAGGCAGAGAATTGCTTAAACCTGGGAGGTGGAGGTTCTAGTGAGCCAAGGTCCAGCCTAGGTGACAGTCTAGGTGACAGGGCTAGACAAACAAACAAACAAACAATACTCTTCTGATTGTACCCAACATATGTCTCATTTTAAAAAGCAGTCTGTTCGAGGTAACATTAGGGATATAGGACCTAGATATTTAAGCGAAAGGGGGATTAAAAAGAACAATTTTGGCCTATGTATTTCAAATATACCTTTGATTTATGCATTTTCCATGTTTATGCCTAAGACTGTGCTTTCTCCACTTTTGTTTCTCTAAACAAAATACTTTCAGCAATATCAATGTATAGTTGATTCTTCAAAGTTTTTTTTTTGTTATTTATTTTTTTTGAGATGGCGTTTTGTTCTTGTCGCCCAGGCTGGAGTGCAGTGGTGCCATCTCTGCTCACCGAAACCTCCACTTCCCAGGTTTAAGCGATTCTTGTGCTTAAGCCTCCCAAGCAGTAATCCCAGCACTTTGAGAGGCTAAGGCCAGAGGATCACCTGATGTCAAGAGTTCAAGACCAGCCTGGCCAACATGGTGAAACCCCGTCTCTGCTAAAACTATAAAATAATTAACCAGACATGGTGGTGAGTGCCTATAATTGCAGCTACTTGGAAGGCTGAGGCACGAGAATCGCTTAAACCCAGGAGGTGGTGGTTGCAGTGAATCAAGATTACGCCACTATGCTCCAGTCTGGGCAGCAAAGCGAGACTCCATTTCAATTAAAAAATAGTTTAATAACGATATATGAGCAAGCCAGAAAGAAAGAAAAAGCAGTAATATTTTAAAGCATCTACAAGGACTTTTTTTTTTTTTTTTTTTTGAGATGGAGTCTCACTCTGTTTCCCAGGCTGGAGTGCAATGGTAGAATCTCACTGCAGCCTCCATCTCCCAGGTTCAGGCAATTCTTCTGCCTCAACCTCCCAAGCAGCTGGGATTACAGGCAGGTGCCGCTACACTTGGCTAATTCTTGTATTTTTAATAGAGACAGGGTTTCATCATGTTGGCCGGGCTGGTCTTGAATTCCTAACCTCAGGTTAACTGCCCGCCTCGGCCCGCCAAAGTGCTGGGGTAGCAGGAGTAAGCCTCCCTGCCTGGCCTACAGGGACTTTTTAAAGAAGAATTTCTCAATGAATTCTAGGAGTTGCAGTAGATAGTACTGCCATTAGGGAGACAAGGTAAAAAAAGATGTTATCAGATGGGAAAAGGAGGCAAATGGACAATTTAAGCTCACATAGATATGAAGTGTTCTTTTCCCTTCCTTAGGCACATCCTGGAATACAGGATTTCTAAGATTAAGTATACTTTTCATTAGACCATATTACACTTTTTATTTTTTTTAAATAGAGACGAGGTTTCACTGTGTTGGTCAGGCTGGTCTCAAACTCCTGACCTTGTGATCTGCCGGCCTCATCCTCCCAAAGTGCTGGGATTACAGGCATGAGCCTGGCCCATATTACACTTTAAGATGGATTTATATCAATACTGCGTTCTCAGTTCTTGAATTTATTGTGACTCCATCATCTCACAAAATGCAAAACGAGACGTTTATGGTTTGTATGCTTTTTTTTTTTTTGTAAAGAGTGGTA